CCAGCCACTCTTCCCCCAGCCTGTAGTTTAACTCTTTTCTTCCCCTGAGTAATCTCCGATACACACACAAAAAAAACCGGTTAAATCTCACACGGGAGGATGTCCCACGCTGCTCTCGTTTCTTCTCGCCTTGCCGAGCTCGCTTGCCGAGCCGAGCCGCGCCGAGCCGCGCCGAGCCATTTCTCCTCTTCCAGGCACTTGGGAGGGTTTTTTTTTCTTCCTTCTCCTCTGCGTCACCTCTGCCGGTCAAGGAGGCTTGACGCCTCCTCGAGGGGCTTTGCACACTCGGAGCACGGGGACAAGCCGTCTCCCACGCCCACGCTCCCGGGAGCGTCGGCGCTGGAGTCCTCCCCCGAGCTCTTCCCGCATTTCGAGCGTTCGCCGGTTCTCCGTCCTCTGTGTCCCCGCTGATGGACGATGAGGCTGGATTTCCTGGTGAACCTCTTCCCGCACTCGGCGCAGGGGTAGGGCTTCTCCCCGGTGTGGGTCCGCTGGTGGGCGATGAGGTCCGAGCTCTGCCCGAAGCTCTTCCCGCACTCGTGGCACTTGTAGGGCTTCTCCCCCGAATGCCATTTCTGGTGTTTAACGAGGCTGGATTTATTGCAGAAGAACTTCCCGCACTCGGAGCAGTGGTAGGGCTTCTCCCCTGTGTGGAAGCGTTGGTGGGTGATGAGGTCCCCGCTCTGGCCGAAGCTCTTCCCGCACTCAGAGCACGCGTAGGGTTTCTCCCCCGTGTGCAACCGCTCGTGCCTGAAGAGCCCGTACCTCCCCCGGAAGGATTTTTCACACTGGGAGCACTGGTAGGGCTTCTCCTCGGTGTGCGTTCGCTGATGGATGGTGAGCTCCGATCTCCGGGCGAAGGTTTTCCCGCACTCGTGGCAAGCGAAGGGTTTCTCCCCCGTGTGCACGATCCGATGGGTGAAGAGGTTGGAGCGTTGGCTGAACCTCTTCCCGCACTCGGAGCACTCGAAGGGTTTCTCCCCCGTGTGCGTCCGCTGATGGACGATGATGTCCGAGCTGCGGGTGAACCTCTTCCCGCACTCCAGACACTCGTAGGGCTTCTCCCCCGTGTGCACTCTCTCGTGCCTGATGAGGGTGGACCTGTCCTTGAAGAACTTCTCGCACGTCGAGCACTGGTAGGGCTTTTCCGCCATGTGGCTTTTCTGATGGGAACTGAGGTCCGAGCTCTTCCCAAACTCCTTCCCGCACTCTTGGCATCTAAATGTCTTTCCTCCTCTGTGCAACCGCTGATGGCAAATGAGCTCCGACCTGTCCTGGAAGCGTTTCTTGCAGTGGGAACATTCGTAGAGACTTTCTTCTGCGAAAAGCTGCCGACCCCCCTTGCCACGGGTGAATTCGTCCTTCCCCGGGCGTCCCTCCATCCCCCGGTCGCTCTCACAAGCTCTCCCGTGGTTATTCTCTTTGGATTTTACCACCCTTTCACCCACGTTGGCTCCGTCGGGACAGCCCTGCTCCACGCAGCATCCTTCACCCTCCCTCCGCAGCCCGTCTCCTGCAGGGTTAGATGGAGACCAAGTTATGTTTTGGCCCCGGGGTGGAACGGTACCCGGCACATCGGCGACCGCTTCCAGGGACCAGCGAGGAGTCGCGGGATGGAGGATGACCGCGGAGGGATGATTTCCAAAGGACCACCCACCGGTACCAGCCTCGCCCCTTGGCGGGGTGAAACGCAGGCGATGCCTGCTGGCTCCCCTCCCGCACCCCAATTTCTCACCTGTCCGGATGCGCCCGGGGCCGCCCATCTCCTCTCTCCCCCCGGGACCAGGTGCCACCGTCTCTCCCCCTTCTTCCATCCAGAGGCTGATTTGGGGCTGGAAAGTCCT